AACTTTTTAAACATCATGAATTTCAAACATGAATAAAATGGTAAGAATTCCCCATTAGCTTCCTGGAAAAGAACAGCAGCAATAAAGTTCACAGGGATTAATCTTCTGATAACTTGAGGGCTTACTCTTTATAGTTCCTTGGAATATAATGAAAACATAGTCCGATGTCTGTGAATCAAAGTTAACATTAGAATGCATAATTAATTCTCCAACATTCATGGTTTTATCATCTAAAAATGTGTACCAGTTATTATTAAGAGATTCCCTCGTACCTTTAAGGTAAGTACCTTATGATAGGGTTGGTGTGTAATCCCAATGCCACATTGGGAGCTCCAGGAGCTACTGTGATCCCCAGAGTAAAGAGGGACTAAAACTGCTGTGACAGCCTTTGATTGGGTTCAACATCCACTGGGGTAATTATGCTGATTGGTGAAGACATGAGGGAAGTAGAGTGCATAGCCAAGGCTCTGCTACTGCCCAGTTAGCTTTCCAGAAACTAGCAATGACAGTGATACCAGCCCTTTGATCTCTTCCACTCCCCAAACACAGGGAATAACATTATGCCCAGCCATTGTATCTCAAAAATCAGCGACTGTGCCTGCGTGCCCATGCGTCAGCTAGTTCTTTTCATAGATGAAACTTCAGCTGGCTCCTATCTGAGATTAAAACCCAACCTAAAGAATCACAAACATTTGGAGCTCTCTTTTCTAAGGAAACCTATTGCTTTTAGTTTCTTTGGATGCTTACCCACCTCTGACAGATGAACCATATGTGCCTTTCACTAAATATACAATCTGAATGTTCCCCCGAGGTTCTCTGGTGATTGAAATATCAAGTGCTTTATTGGGTGGGCTGATTTCATTTCCTTTGCTGTAAAAAAATCATTTTATTATTGGCTATTGTGACACCAAGTTCAGGTTCCATAGTTATGACATCCAAGGATATTAACAGTGCTATTTCTGTGTAACTTTTACTGCTTCCTCTAAATAAAAACCCTGTAGATATATACAGTATCTGAATAAAGCAAGATTGCTTATGCTATGACATGATGCTTTATAGGATAGCACATTGACCATGTAACTATATATGATGTCCTGCTGTCTTGTTCAAAAAAGATATTTAAATCTCAGTCCAGCTAAAAAGAGCTTAAAAAGTCACTGATGTCCCCTAAAAACAATTGCCTAGCATTTAGTTGAGAAATAACCAAATTAGTTTTTGATTTTAGTGACACTGATGTAAATCTACAGTAATTCCAGTGACTTCAAAATATGCTTCAGGTTGTGTTTATGGGAGGAAAGACAGGTAAAACACAGTAATTCCAGTGACTTCAAAATATGCTTCTGGTTGTGTTTATGGGAGGAAAGGCAGGTCAGACGACCTCCATGTGTGTATTATATAGCTATACACTGAGGGTATGTCTAGACTGCATCCCTCTGTCAGCAGAGGGATGCAGATTAGGCAGGTCAACATTGCAAATGAGGCAGGGATTTAAATATCCCATGCCTAATTTGCATAAAAATGGCCACCACATTTTGCTGACTCAGCACTTTGTCAGCAAAAAGCGGCAGTCTAAAGCTTTTTTCAACAGATGCCTCCTCCCCCTCTATACTTATGCCTTCTCCCCCTCTATACTGCTGCTTTTTGCCGACAAAGTGCTGAGTCGGCAAAATGTGGCAGCCATTTTTATGCAAATTAGGCATGGGATATTTAAATTCCTGCCTCATTTGCAATGTCAACCTGCCTAATCTCCATCCCTCTGCTGACAGAGGGATGCAGTCTAGACATACTCTGAAAGGTAGCCATTTCAGAAAGGAAGCAGTGATTCTGACTCAGCGATGAAAGTTAACTTCAGTAATTTGAAAAACTCAGGGTAACAAGGTGGATCTGATCCAAAGTCCACTGAAGGTACATCTATACAGCAGCATTATTTTGGAGTAACTGACATCATTCTGAAATAACATAGTGCACATCTACACTACAAGCCTTTATTTCAAAATAATGTTGAGCTGAAGGACTTCTTACTGCAATCATAGTAACCCTCATCTCATGAGGCGTAAGAGAAGTCAAAGGAAGGGTGTTCTTCCTACAACTTCCTGCTGTGTAGACAGTGCCAAAAGCTGAATTAAGCTATTTCAATTTAAGCTACACAATTGATGTGGCTGAACTTGTATAGCTTAATTCGACAAGAGCCTTGCTGTGTAGACTTACCCTGACAGGTTTTCCTTTGACTTAGTGGCATTTGGCTCCAATCCCAAGTAATTACTCAAATTGGAATTTGGCCATTGAAGCTAATCTCTCTCTACTTACAAAAAAGAACACTCATTTGTTAGTGAACACAAAGTGTCAGGGCTCAGTTTTAAATCTCATCTTTAAAATGGCACCTGTAAGAGTGTGTTGTTCTTAACACCATGCTGTGCTTCTAATTGAGTATTAACTCAAAGGGAAGAGTCACCTACTGAGTGACTAGCATAACTTTTCTTTTCCTAATAGAGTCAAGCCTCCAAGAAGTTTCTTTTCCAGCTAGAGTCCACATATGGATGCAAGCCAGGAGTTACTATTAGCAATGCTATGGAAAAAGAGGAAATAGATGATACATAAATTAACTCAAAGGATAAAGAAATCCACCTTTTTTGTTGTAAAATTCCAATTTTAAAAGAAAAAAGCAGAGCGAATTAAATCTGTTTTATTCAAAGCAAAATGCAGATTCTCTGCTAGTAGGATAGCTTTGTGAAGTTCAGTATACATTCTCTACATGGGGAGGAAGAATGGGTTTAGGATTAAAGCAACTGATTTCTGCCTCTGCCAAGGACTTCCTGTGTGATTCTGGCCAAGTCATTTAACAGCCCTAGCTTTCTGTTTCTTCATCTGTGAAATGGGATTAATAATAGCTACAGTCTAACTCATAGGAATTTTTGATGCTAGAATTATTGCCCATAAGTTTCATATAAATGCTCAAATGGAAGGTGGCATATATTGGTGCAAAGTGTTAGTGTCATTATATATTTAACATATAGATTTCAACCTGCAAATCTTGTTGTGATGTGCAACAGGCAGTGCAATGTTGTTTCTCTTTAATGGAAGTGAAGGTACACTACTGTACAGGCAGTCCCCGGGTTACGTACAAGATAGGGACTGTAGGTTTGTTCTTAAGTTGAATCTGTATGTAAGTCGGAACTGGCGTCCAGATTCAG